TGGGAGGCTGTGGCACTTAGATCTCTGTGAGTTTGAGGCCAGCCTGGTCTACAAAGTGAGTCCAGGACAGTGAAGGATACACAGAGAAACCTTGTGTTACAAAAACAAACAAACAAACACAAAAAAAAAAAAAACACAAATTGTCACTAATCAAAATTGTTCTAGGTTCATTAAAGTCTAATAATTTTAGCACACACACACACACACAAATCTCTTTGGCATTCTCGTTGGCCTCCTTCCTTCTGCTCAGGACAAAATAAATATATTTGAGTTAATAATAGTAAGGAGCCGCTCCCACACTGGAAAATGTCATTAGGATAGTGAAGGCTTCACCTAGGTTTCAGAAAGGGAAGTATTGTAGAGCTGCCTGCTCTTTCCAAGAATGAAATAATGTTAAAAGTGGCCCCAGGGAATTTTCCTCATAAGTTTTCATCAACTGCAGACAATAGACTAGGGAAGAAAGGTCAAGGTAACATAGTTATTACATAGCAGACTGGGAACAAAACTCTAGTTTCCTGACCCTGTCCCCTGTGAAAAGTATAAATCATAATACACCATCTTTCTTCTGAGATTTAAAGTGTTTAGAATTCTAAGATCACACTGATTTGACAGTGAAAATGTAAATTCTCACACACTCTCTGTCAGTCTCTCTCTCTCTCTCTCTCTCTCTCTCTCATACACATACACATTCCCTTAATGACTGGGTATTTTATACAATATATGACAAACTGAATTGTTCTATAGATTAAATTAAATTAGATTAAATTCTGATAAAAGAGAACCAACAGTCTAATAAAACTAAGCATGTTTTTTGCTTAGTTTTCATTTTGAAGTAGCACAAACAGCAGCTGATGACAAAATCATAGTCAGATGTAGTATTCTCAGAGAAAATCTTATTATAATAGGCAAAACTTTTAAAATATCGCTAGGCCAGAAAGATGGCTAGCCCTCGGCTCTGTACTTAAATAGCTGTGCCCATGCGGATGGCATTGTTCCTTTTGGTTGTCAAACTCTATATGCAGACAGTTCTGTGAGCTTCTGTAGCCCTCTCTCATAATTCTGCTTCTAAAAGTCTTCCAAATAACAGGCTGCAAAGCTAAATTCTAATTCAATCTTGAAAATTCCTAGCTGATGGCAGTGGGCTTCATTTACCTCACTCAGAATGCCCAGGCAACAGTTTCTGTAGAAAGGACCTTTTAATGGAGATGAAAGACCTCAAATCTGTCTGAATTTCATTTCCTATTGCCTTTGAAACTTATTCACTGCATTCTACTAGATCTGATTCCTTATATTTTTGTTTTAAAAATGACATCTTTTGCTTAGTAAATACTGTCACAGTAAAAATAAATGACAAAATTACATATAAATCTGTTCTCTACACCAAAGAAATAATGTGTTGTCCTTTCATAAAAGGTTTGTTCATCCCACTCAAGCTACTGCAGCAATACACTATGGCATGGGTAACTTTTTTTTTTTTAATCTTGTTGGAAGTCCTAGGAGATTTTGATCTCTGGTCAGAACCTCTTCCTTGATTGCATTCAGCTGCCTTCTTCCAACATCTTACATGGCCCAACAAGCTCTCATTCTCTATGTCTTTTTGTGAGGAAATTCTTTCCATTTTGGACTCTGTACCTCTCTCAGAATGCCCAGCTAACATTTTCTGTAGAAAGGACCTTTTAAATGAAGAAGGAAGACCTCAAATATCATGACTTCCTCAAAACCTAATTACTTCTCAAATACCGCATGTTCTTATATACCATCACATTGGATATTTGAGATTCAACATAAGAGATTTGGCTCTCAAATATTTGCCCCCCTATACATGTTATTAAAGAACGAAAGATGTTAGCATAATTGAGACATATTTTGCTATCCTTAAAGGACAAACTATTTCTCATTGGAATTCAAGTGTTCAACAGTTTGAGTGACTATAATTTTACCATTAAAACTTTGTCAAGAGATGAACAATTTGATACTCATAATGCCATCTATTGAGACACATTTAACAATTTCATGCATTTTAAACTGTCCAGAAAATGTGAGATTCTAGAGGAATGGAGAAATCAGCTAGCGAGACCCTGCTCAATGAACGGGATTGAGAAGACTGGAAGTTAAGTTTTAGCAAACTGCTCATCGTAGGAGAGATTTTTCCTTCATTGATGGCCCCTCTACGTGTGCCATTAGTGGCTCCATTTTAAGCCTCCCTATATGGTCAGTGCACGGTTCAAAGATTGTTATTCACATGGGCCTACACACAGGTGGTACTAACAGTGTAGTCATTCTGCAGGAGAAACTCAAAGTTATCACGAGGAACACCATCCCTACATCCTTCAGTTAGAAACAGGGAGATGCAAGACGGGTTGTTAGCAGAGGGTCTTATTGTCAACAAGCTCTCTAACACGAGTGGATATTCTGGTTTGGAGTAGACCAGACGAAAAAAAGCACTCACTCATCTCCACTACTTTTTAAAGCTGTGTGACCTTGGAGCCAGCAGTTCTATCTCTGTAAGAATTCAATTCCACTCCAATGAGTTGATGATAACATAGAGATGAAATAAAGCATCTGGAACACAGCATGCACTCACTGGTCTCGTCTTTGTGAAAGCATATCGAGGGCCTGCAAACAGAATTCTTGACTCCCAGCACAGTGCACTTTTCATTACATTTCATGTTAAGTGAGCACCCTCATTGGGAAATGAGACTATCAAGTGCATTTTTAAAAGCCTTATCTTCTAAAATCAATCTGTTCACATTTTTAATAATGCAAAAAAGAAGTCTGAAGTTGGCCCACTGAGATTTCTGTGAACCAAAGGTTTATTTTTAATTGGATTTTGTGTCTGTTGTTATGGAAATGGTGGTTTCATAGATTAAGCATTATGATTTTACTGCAAGATCAAGCTCGGAGTGGGGGATGAGGATGAGCTCATCCTTATGCTTCTCTTTCTTGACAAAACACATTTAAAATTAAAAGAACAGGAGGAGAGCAGTTCAGAAGCATATGTTTCTAAGAAAAAAATTTCTCCCATAAAAATAGCTTTAAAAATGATATATCCTCTTCTCAAAGATCAAAACTAAGGATGACCCAGGTTGCCAGTAGGACACAAAGCTGCTCTGACATTATTAAACATTCGTTTTTTCACTATTGAAACTATAAAGAGCTCCTTTGATCCTGGGATTCGCTTTCAACATTTGGTCTCACTGCATTTGTGCAGATGCTGAACTCACAGGCTTCCTTTAGGCTGTTAGTGATCACTTCCTGATAACTTTTCTCTTCAGAATAGTTTTTATTCACACCTATTTAAAGAAAAACAAGAGAAGATTTCTAAATCTTAATGATGGTTGGCACTGTGTAAAGAATTGAGGCAAATTCCTTGAAAAAAAATAGCTTATATTTTTGGTTCATCTTAAGGCTCCAAAGACAGTAACCAACGAAGACAAGGCTCAGCTGAATAAGCAGTAGCAGCATAAAAAAGAAGCTGGAGCTGTGTGGCTAGTCTAGTGTTGTCACAGCTAACAGTGACCTCACTTAGGTGGGATACTGAGACTTTCTTCCCTTGGTTCCCTGAGAGCTCTTTCTCTTCTTTCACTCTTTGAACATATTTTTAGTTTCTTTTTTGTTCTCTTTTGATCTCCTCCATGAAATGGTTTAGTTTTAGGACTTGGTGAAGGGAACTGTAAAAGACATTTCTGACCCTCTACCAGTGGAAGGTCAGGAAAGCAAATGGTGCCAGGCCCTTCAGTGTATTCATGTAGCTGCAAGTTATGGTGGTTTAAGAAAAGAAAAATCTGTCAATCAATCCCTGTTTGACACCATATTCTTCTAAATGAATCATCATTTGGATACTTTTATAAATAAAGTGATTTATATGAAGAGTCATGTCTAAAACCCATGTCTAAAGAAACATCCTGACAACCAATTGATAAGTTGCAAATCTGTTTTATATATAAATTTTAAAAATATTTAAAAAATCATATTTAATACTTTTATTAAAATTCCAATTATGTCACCATTTTTTTGTTATCAAGTTAAACACAGATATGCTCCCACTTGCTTATATCCATAATTTTCATTAAAGATGTTTGCCAAATAATGTCTGTTCTAAAGCCATTTAAATTCTTTACATACATCCTTTGGAAGTTTTTTTTATCAATTAACGATACTATTTGCCTCTCTTCTTTTGTCCTTTAGTTGTTGATCCCTGGTGGTTAGCATCACATTTTGCCTTATGGACTTTTTTTTTTTTTTTTTTTTTTTTTGTCTGTCTGTTCTCTATTTTGGTCTACTTCTTCCAAGTTACTATTATTCTGATGTATTCAGAGGCATCTCTAACATACGTACAGTTTTGCAACTATGAGTTAGTATCAGGTTTTCCTTGGACTTTGTTTTTAGACAGAACTGGCCATATATCTCAGAGGCTGACAAACCCAGGATCTGGTAAATCTTGGAGATACACAATTTAAGATCTAAAGAGCAGCCATCATACTGGCATCACCAAGAGGTTCTCACCAGGGTGCTATCGGCTCTGCATAAACTCATCTGAAAATGTGTTTTACTGGCAAATAGAAGTCTCAGGAATTAGATGTCTGCTAATCCCTGTATATTAAGAAAAGTAGTGTTTAAAATACCAGAAAACTCTTTTACAAGGTATATATGCAAACTTGGGAAAGTTTCTAATGCTATATTGACTGTGCCTATTTATGACAGCAGGTTAATTCTCTTTTCTTAAATTAATGCAAAAGGTTAAAAATTCTTAAATTGTCATTCCTAAGTGTTTGTTAACTTGTCATTTTCCTTGCTTGTTATGACTTTATTGGGCTTGAAAATTGGTCCACTCTCTTTCTTTCTCTCCCTCTCTCCCCCCTCTCCTTCTCTCTGTTTCTCTCTCTCCATTCTTGTTCTTGCTTCCCTGCTTTCTTTTCCTCTTCCCTCTCATTTTCTGTAAGGTTCATTTTGTTGTCTGATTCTGATTGTCCATAATGACTGTTTGGCATATTCTACAGGCAAAGGTCCTGAGACCCTTTTTGCTGGCTATAACCTCAATGATAATGAATGGCACACAGTGCGTGTGGTTCGTCGAGGAAAAAGTTTAAAGCTAACAGTGGATGATCAACAAGCCATGACAGGTAAACTCTTCTGTCTCTGTTATCTCTTTTCTGATTATTATTCTTTTTTAGATTATTATTTCTTCTTTTTTATTTAAATTTTTGGGAGTTTCTTACGTGAGTAGTATATTTCTATCGTTTCTACCTTTTCACTTCCAGCTTCTCCCATCCTCCGCTATCTTAGGTATGGTTTCTATTGCTGTGATAAACCAACAGCAACTCGGGGAAGAAAGAGTATATTACTGTCACACTTTCATGTCATTTGTCATCATTGAAAGAAGTCAGGACAGAAATTCATAGCAGGAACCTAAAGACAGAAACTGAAGAAGAAGCCAGGGAACGGTTGCTTCTCCCCCTCCCCCAGTTTGACTGTTTTTTGTCATGGTTTACTCACCCTGGTTTCTTATAGAATGAAGAATCACCTGTCCAGGATCCCCCGCCCCCACATCAGTAATCAATCGAGAATGCAGGATTATCCACGGGTCAATCTGATAGGGGCATTTTTTTCAATTGAAAGTTCCAAATTGACCCAAACTTGGGTCGAGTTGATATAAAAGTAGCCAGTATGCCACCTCCCATTTCAATATCAAAACCTCTTCTGTAATTATTATTGTTAGATTTATATACATGCATATGTACTTGTAAATACAATCTATTACACTCACCTTACCAGTAACTTGAAGAGAAGTTTTTCAAGTTGGCACTAGGAATTTTGTTAGATAGGGTGTGGCTCTTGCTGAGGAGGGGGGAGGAGACATTGTCACCCAAGTATTAAATTATTTAAACTAGATAGATAGATAGATAGATAGATAGATAGATAGATAGATAGACAGACTTACACTTTCATTTTGAAGTTTCAGACTCATTTTCTGCACATGGCTTTTCAAACCAAAAACAACACCTAACTTGAAGGTTATACTTAGTCCAACCAACGGTTGCATTTGATAAGTAGCCTATTAATTATTTCTCCAACTTGAACATATTTTTGCCATGTCATTTTCCTTCTCCATTAATAATTCAAGAAATTATACTATATTTTAATTTGTGGTAAACATCTCAGTTCTTCATAAAATATTTAAGTCATTTTAGATGTCAATTTATCTTCATTCCCTTTGTTTCTTATATATTTTGTTGATGAAAATTCTGTTTTCACCTTAAAATATGTTCGTAAATTTACTGACATGTTGCTGTACTTCTATTTACTCTCTTGTTTTAGGCTATCATACATCATTTTTTTTTTTTTTTTTTTTTTTTTTTTTTTTTTTTTTTTTTTTTTTTGCCATTTAGTTTGTTGACTGAACTCTAGCATTTGGGATGTAAAGGTCTATTCCAGACTATAGTCCATACCCCATGGAGGTGAGCTGTAGAAAGCTTTGCCCTTGGCAATTAGAGAAGTCAGTGGGAGGGGAGGCGCCACACCCTCATCTTTGAGGACTAACCACCCAGTATCCACTCCTTTATCTTTGGTAGAGAAAGCACTCCAGTAATTATATTAGCACAAAGCACAGCACAGTCTGTGTACACCCAAGACATGTCCCTTTCCTATTAAATTCCAAAGGGCTTCCCAGGCTGAGCAAATGTCGACATGATCTGTATGGGGTTACAAGTTTTGAAGAAATCATTCTTTAGATTAAGGAAAGTGAACCACTAGTTCATAGAGCTGTCTTTGTCATGTATCTCACTGGCTCTTTGTGGCTACCTAGATTTTTATTTTTATGCTTTTATTAATTAATTATTGGTATGTATGGACTTGCAGGAAGAGCCCCAAATAGCCTCACTCAGGAGGCAAAGTGGAGAGGAGCTTGTGTTTCCCTTTAAATGTCTGCAGGAAGCGCTAATGTACCTGTTTGGAAATCTCGAGCCTTCTTCACTTAGGCTCCTTTCCTTCTGCTTGTCTTGTCCAATTCCAATGTGATAGTTTTTGTTTTATCTTCCTATACTTTATTTGGTTAAGTTTTATTATTATTCCTCAGAAGCCTGCCTGTCCTTTTCTAATGAGGGTCAAAAGGGAGTTGGATCTGGATTAGAGTGGAGGTGCAGAGGAGCTGGCAGGGGTGGAGAGAGGGGAAACCATAATCAGGATCTATTATGTGAGAAATGAACCTTTTGCACAAGTGCAACACAATCACCATTCACAAGAAGACTCTGAAACAGCAACTTAAGACTAAGAAGGGAAGACAGAATCATACATGGGCAGAAGAATGTCTGCTGAGGTCAGTTAGCTTTACTTAAGATCAGTACTTGGATGAGAAAAAACTGTTTTTGAAGATAAACATTAGTTGCTAAAGCAATTGGATGTTATACAGAGGATTTATAGTTATGGCTTTGAGTCTTGGAAGTCAAGGACAATAAATGCATAAATCATGGCAGACATAACTTAGTCTAAGTGTCTTTCACAGAGGCACTTAGGGCAGATAGGACATAGGAATTCTTATTTTAAAGATGACAAAGGTGAAGTTCAAAGAGAAGTAGGTTATGTCTTATTGAAATGCTATTGTTATAAGACACGAGGAGAGTATCCAAGAATTTTTTCATTTTCTTTTCTTTGTAAGCTTAGTTTTGTTCTACTATATTCCAGAAAATAATAATAAATGTATAGCTCTATAATGAATACTTTCCCAGATACAGCATTACATTATAAGATAATACATACACACACATACATACATGTATCTATACAATGGAGGTGTTAGCTGATAATACAGGGCAATTTATGATGTGAGGAATGGTTGACATAAAAAGCCTTAAGTTTGGAACTCAGGAGACTTGATTTCAGAGATACATTAAATATTTTAATCAGGTAGTGGTGGTGCCTCCCAACTTGGGAGGCAGAAGCAGGCGGATCTCTGTGAGTTTGAGGGCAGCCTGGTCTACAGAGTGAGTTCCAGGACAGCCATTGCTATACAGAGAGACCCTGTCTCAAAAAAGCGAAAACAAACAAACAATTTGAGGCCAGGTGTGGTGGCACATACCTCTGAAGGAAGAAGGCATGAGGGTCTCCATGAGTTCCAGGCCTGAGTGATCTACACAGTGAGTTCTAAAACAGCCAGAATATGGAGAAAGATCCTGTCTCAAGAAAACAAAACAAAAAACAGAAAAACAAACCAAAAAAAACCAAACAACAACAAAAGAAAAAGAAAAACAGACTGGCATATTGTTTGAATGGGGAGGTTATTTCTTACGGTCTGTACCAACCAGACAGCACTGTGCTTAGTCTGATTTGAGCAAATGTGGCAATATACAAGATAGCAAGTACTCACCCCAGAACTACGGTGGGTTCAGGCACGGAAGCAAGCCAGTATGAAAAAAAGTGTTCCATATAAATTTTATTTCAAGACTCTTTTAAGTTTAGGAAAAGTTCCAAGAATAAAAATAATGTCATGACCACCTGTGTGTTGCTACTATGGTAAGCCGTGTTTCTTCATTTGCTTTGACATTTTCACTTCCCACTCTTCTCTCACCTTCAGTTTTCCCCTTAAACTGCTGAGGAAAAATGATATTGGAAGTGACCTTTTAATCCCTGAATTCTTCAACATATATTTTCTAAAAAATAGGATGTACTCCTTACACAGCAAAGTAAAAGTTGTCGGCTCCCATACCTTTGCAGGGATACTGTGCATTTTGCCTGACCATCATAATTCTGTCAGTTTACTCAATCTAGGACTGGGAGCTCTGTAAAGCTGTCATGTCTCCTGAGTCGTCTTCAACCTATGTATTTCCATAAACTCTCCTTGTCTTTTAGAACATTGGTATTGTTAATTTACAGATTTTTCTTCATGCCATGTATTGATTGGGCATTTGTTTTGTGTTTGTTGAATGTGCCATCATAATTCACTGCTCATATTCTCTCTTTTATTTCATTGTCCACATTCTTGACACCAAAATCTCTGTGTTTAATCCTATCTGGAGGCAGGAATTTGGGTGGGTGATAAAGTTATTCAGTTTTTTTCACAAAATAATTACTATATTATTTTCTTTCTGGAAATTAATAAATCATCTATGGAAAGGCACATCAAATCTTTGTGCTTTAATAAATGTTTTCCCATAAATTATCAGTTGATAAATACTCTACCTATTGCAATCAACTAAAGCAGTTACAAAGCACTGACTTTCAGCACCCAGCATTCCCCGAATGTTTGGAGTCCACATTTAGCACTGTACTGCGTGCAGCGCTCCTCTTCATTTCTCTGCATTTCCTATTTTCTTCTTCCTTTCTGACTGATGTGCATTCGCAAGATTTCTTTTTATATTTTACAGTAATTTCTAATTACTTGTCCTAAATGCTTTTATGCTCAATTTATTGCAGATTGTTATCAAATTGACTGCTTTTTTTTTTTTTTTTTTTGGAAAAGCATGCTACTTAGGCACTACTTTTTAATCTATTATCTGCCAACAGAATTATCAATTTACATTTAATGAGCAATAATTTTTAAATCTTATTTTACTTTAAATTTAAATATAAGTAACTTCATTTTTCTTCCCTCCTATGGCTCCCAATCATCTTAAAATTTATGTTTTTTTTTAATATTATTGTGATTATATATGTATGTATATTGTGATATAGCCATATGTAATATCCATATGTAATATGAATGATATATACATGCTTGAATAGCATATGTAAACACATAAATAAAATTTACTGAGTCCATTTAGCTTGTATGTACGCTTTTAGAGTTAACCACCTAGCTTTGGATTACCAGTTAGGGGATTACAACTGAGGAAGACTAATTCTCTCTCAGCAGTTGTTAATTGCGTATATCTCTTTACCTCGTGGTGGGACCCGCAGAGCGCTCTCGTCCTCACTAGCAGGTCAGCTGATAGAACTGTTTAAGTCTTGTTCAGGCAGCCATCTTGTTGTCATCTCATGGGCTCAACTTCCATTCCATGTCTGCAGGACAGAGGTTCACAGCTGACGTTCTAGTTCTCTGGCTCCTTTATTTTTCTTATCTTTCTGCAATGTCCTCTGAGCCTTCTGTGTAGGAGTTGTGTGGTAACATGTACTCAATTGTTACCAGATGTCTTTGCATTATGATCTTCTCAGCAGGTACAAACTGGAAACATCTATCAACCATTGAATATGTACCCACATATATGCATAAATATACCAACATGTATACATATTAATTGCATGTGTAGACAAATATGCACCCGCATGTCTAAGTAAACATGAGTTCTCATCACTATCTCTATGCCTACAGAATTTTCTCCTGATTTTTCTTATTTCATTTGCCCATGCATTTTCCTATAAGCTGAGAATTCGGGCCACTATTTTATTTATTTGTTTACTCTGATAATGTATCTAAAATAATTTAAGATTTGCTTTATTGCTGTAATGAATAAATAACTTGGATTCTTTCTCCTTCTTGCCTCCATTTCTTTTTGTTTTTGTTATTGAAGATCTCAGGAACCCAATACTTGACCATAATAAGAATTCATAATAATAATGATTTACATAGTATAAAAAGATTTTCTAATGCAGCATTAAGAACTTAGGACTGGCAATTAGGTATAAAATGGTATGTTTGTAAAGAACTTGGTGGCCACTTAAAGCCACCATGAATCAGGAAAGCATTAGGTATTTCTATTAAATAGTACACTATGAACAGGAAGAATTTTAAAGAATGAAATAATACAGACCCTTCACACATGGCTATGTAGTTTTACAACCAAGTAATGTCATAGTAATTCTATTATTTGTTGAACAGAAAGTATACACTCAGGTTGTTCTTGGGATTATCTGCACCTCACGTGAAATAAGGAGGCTAGGGTTTCATGTAGAGAGACACAAAATTAAAGGGTCTCTAGGTCATAGATAGGAAGGGAATGAACAAACTATGGTGTATCTTTAATTAGGAGAAGTAATCAAAGTTTCCTTTCATTATTTCTTATAAATATTCTGTGATTGTGCGCTATATATGTAAGTTGGTGTGTGGCCTCATTCAATGTGATTCACCATTTCCTCAAACTTGTGAGCCAAGACTCATCATGTTCCTTCATTGAATCATTCACATATCATTAGTAAATCTTGCAAACTGTATCTACAAAACTGTTCAAATTCTGCTACCGTTATACTTTCCAAATCCCTGTCTAGTCTATTGGAGCCATTAAAGACACACATGCATGCACATGCGCACACACACACACACACACACACACACACACACACACACGCCATGTTCTCTGCCTATTTAAAACCCCATTTACCTGATAATCAGCACCGTTTTAATCTTATATGAGCCAGCGTCTTGATTTGCTCATGGTTTTAACTCATTCAGTGCCAAAAAATTTTGTTCATCTGTCTCCTTTGCATGGAGTGCAGTCCTTGATTCATCCGCTATAAGATTTAATATGATTTTTTTTTGCAGTTCAATTCTTCAGCTTAAATAGTATCCCAGTTTGTGACTACCAATACGACATCGCACTCATAAAATTCACAGCATGTCTCAGTTTTGTTCTTATCCATTTAATGATATGCTCACCTCTTTTAGTATTTCGTTCCCCCGAGAGACTGTGAATTTTCTGAGAACAGGGAGAGGTATGTCTCTTTCAGCACTTCCTTCACTTCCTTCCATAGCAGTTGAAACATGTGCTGACCATGCAATAACTAACAAGAGCACATAAGGCTTAGTGAGCTTTTCTTTTTGTTGTTGTTGTCCTATGCCAGAAATGTAGCACAACTTAGAACAAGGTGAAATTGAAAATTCAGCACAGATACTGAGAGTTCTACATGGGCAAATCATCCAAGAAACATCTTGAGGCTTATGTTTCATCATGAAAGCTGAAGACCCCCACTCTGATTCACAATTTCTAAATCCACTGATTCAATCTATGAGAATTAACCATTTAGATATTATAAGCATGAAAAGTTTTCTATAAAATCTTTAGAAAATAGTTTTGCAAAGTTCTTTTTGTTTTCTTTTAATCAACAAAGTTTCATATACAACAGTAGAGGTGGTTGTGTTACTGATGAAGATGATCTCAAATAAATTCTGAGGAGAAATACTTTTAAAAGCCAACATCAGGATACTGGAGAGATGGCACGGAGGTTAAGAGCGCTGCTTGCTCTTCCTGGGGTCCTGATTTCAATTCCCAGCAACCACATGGTGGCTCACACCCATCTATAGTGAGATCTAGTGCCCTCTTCTGGCATTCAGGTGTACATTCAGGGAGAGCATTCTATACACAATAAAACACTAAATAAATCAAAAGAGAGAGAGAGAGAAAGAAAGAAAGAAAGAAAGAAAGAAAGAAAGAAAGAAAGAAAGAAAGAAAGAAAGAAAGAAAAGAGAGAGAGAAAGACAGAAAGAAAGATAGAAAGGAAGGAAAGGAAGGAAGGAAGAAAGAAAGAAAGAAAGAAAGAAAGAAAGAAAGAAAGAAAGAAAGAAAGAAAGACAAGGAAAGTAAGAAAACCACACTTCAAAAACAAAACAAAAAGCCAACATCAGCCAGGGTGTTTTTAGTGGATGATGGCTCCAGATGCCATTTAGCCCCCTTATACCAAATGTGTTTCTCAGTGCTGCCTATGCAATTCGGGGATTTCTGAATTAGGACAATATATTTTCATGTAACATGGTTGCTTCAACACTGTCACTACATTCTTATAATTTATTATTTCCAAAGACTTCATTGTCAGAAAGGAAACATTATTGTTTTCACTGAAATTCTCTGTCTTTCTGAATTAAATGTTCTTCCCTTCTTCGTAGCTTTCAAGTTCTTAACAGTATAAAATATTAATTTCACATATTAGAAATGTGTTTTGCTCTGTATATTTTTGTTTGTTTTTTGTCAATAAAACTTTTAGGAAGAAACACAGATGCTTTAGAATTGGGGTAAACTAACTTAAGACTCGGATTTTTTAATACTGCCAAAATAATAAAAGTCATCATCAGTATTGAAGCCTCAGTGATTTTCATAGTCTTTTCATATTCCCTATCCTACAAAGCTTATTAATTCAGTACTGCTGATGGCCCTAGAGCTTTAAGCTTGCAAATTATTAAAGATTGATTTTGTTGTTACCAAAGAGGCAGAGCTCCCACAGAGCAGTATTGAGGTCATTGAACAAAAACTGAAGAGCAAAAGCAAAATGATCTTATATGAAAAAACTGAATTGGTAAGAGGGTAATAGCATTTTACTTCAGTAACTTAACCAGAGGCTTCTTAGTATGTGGATGGGAAGATAGTTTTCTTCAGTAAACTATGGGTTTACTTCTCGATGTGTAGAGAAAAAAAAAATCAAATCAAACCAATGACTAAACAAAACAAGACAAAAACATAACAAAGATAGCTGAAGAGATAGGGGAATGAAGAATCTCAGAGAGTAAAAAATAAGCATTTTTAAACACAATTCAGGGAATCTGTAGTTATTAAAGGCAATTGATAATACAAACACTTTTCTTATTTAACCAAATATGCCTGTTATATTTTATTTACAGCAGTGTTTAATGATACTAGCCAGCATGTTTGCTGTTTTTATTAACCAAATTGAATCTTGTCAAAATGTTGATGTGAGTCCACATAGGTAGTTTTAATATTCATTATGCTTAGAAAAATGGTTCAGTGCATTTTCTCAAGTCTTGATTCTGAGTTGGTCCCAATTAATGTTTTCATTAATATCATGGATGATAGCATAGGATCAGCTTAATAAGTTTTCCCATTATTCCAATTTTGATAGGGAAACTAACCAAGAAGTTGTTTGGAAGAATTGGTTGCAGTTTAAGTGAACTTCTTGAGATGCAGCAGAAAGTGTGGCAAACACGGTTTAGTGAGGAATAAGGCTGGGAATGAGCCAAAAGCAAGGATTAATATTCATGGATGTAGTATTTTACAACTTAGAAACCAAATTCTTATCTTTTTATTAAATTTCAAAGTTACAGGAAGATAGAATCAGTACTTTAAAGGTAAATACGGTATTAGCTTGACTCTTGATGGGATTGACAGAGAAATCTGGTGAGACAGGGAGAGGTAGGCCTATATGGACTAGTCACCAAATAAAACTACAACCACACTAGGATATTTGAGATGGTATTTCGTGGTTGTGTAGGTTTATAACACTTGCATTCTCCTCAGAACTGAGTGTACTTTGCACTAACACATTGTGCTTAATTGTAATGAAAATGTGAGGAATATGGTATAGGTCCAGATTTAATCTCTAACGTAATTGGGAGACTAGAGATAATCTAGATATTTACACAATAACAGGAGAGAGTGCAAAGTATATTTTTACTTACAGACACATTTTAATGGTTCATTATTACACAAACATTCAGTGGTTCTTTTCTGTTTATACAGGATATAGAACACTACATAATAATATAATATTCCTGGAAAAAAGTAAAGAAAAATATTACTAATCACAAGCTAAGATGTACGGATTGCTAACACAGACATAGACGTTCAGATCAGTTACCACGCCTAACCCTTCTTTGCCTCCTTTCTTGGAATTTTTTCTTTCTGTTCCCTCCCTTCTTTTACTTTTTATGAAAGTGATAACATGTTAATGAGGATTTAATTTTTGTTGTTGTGTCAAGAAATTTTATGTAGGTTGGCCCAGAACTCAGTATGTATGTCAAGCCGGTCTTTAACTCATAATTCTCTTGCCTTAATTCTTCATTCTTGTTGAGAGAAGGGCATCACACACAGGCATGATGAGAATTTTGATTGCATCTTAAATTTTCATGGATATTAAAACCTGGCTAAAATATATCATTATATTTGTCTGCCTTACCTTTGAACATCATTTAGATGTTCTTGCTACTTGCTATACCTATCAAGATTGTAAGCTTTTAATTTTGAAGTATGCTTTTCTACTTCAAAATACGTGAAAATCCTCAGTTGGAAGTGTCTTTCAGATGCATAGTATAGCAATGTATTTTCTTTTCTTTTAGGGCAAATGGCAGGTGACCATACACGACTGGAGTTTCATAACATAGAGACAGGCATCATCACAGAACGACGCTATCTTTCTTCCGTCCCCTCCAACTTCATTGGACATCTGCAAAGCCTGACTTTTAATGGAATGGCATACATTGACTTGTGCAAAAATGGTGATATAGACTACTGTGAGCTCAATGCCAGGTTTGGCTTCAGGAACATCATCGCAGATCCTGTTACCTTCAAGACCAAATCGAGCTATGTTGCCTTAGCTACATTGCAAGCCTACACCTCTATGCATCTATTTTTCCAGTTCAAGACAACATCCCTAGATGGACTAATTCTATATAACAGTGGGGATGGAAATGACTTTATTGTGGTTGAATTAGTTAAAGGGTACGTACATATCAGTTCAATAAGAAGAGAAACAAACATTGTGTAAAAGTTGTCTATATGAAAGACAAATTGTTGAATTGATACAGTGCTAGGCAGGACAAGGAATTCAAATGACTCATTTGTTGATAACAAGCATTAGGCATCTTCAGTAAGTATGAAACATTGCAGTCGCTTGTGTATACAGTTATACTTGTGAGTACAGGTAAGTTCTAGTTCATGGTAGATCTCCTATGACCCTCGTACTCCAAATGTGTATTTCCTGAATTTTGACAATGAAATTCTACACAAGTTCCAGTAGGCAACTCTGTTCTAAAATAACTAGCTAATTCAGTTCATCAGATTAGATATTTAATGAAATTCTAATTAAGTCAAGCTCAAGTCTGTGATGAATAATCCAGAAAGAATGATGTGAAAATGAAACTTTTTGATAGTGTGATGGTAAGTGGACACATTTTCATTAATTTGGACATCTATTCATCCACTCAGTGAATATTATTGTCCATTTACTCTAGACTATATATATTTACTATAGACTACCTACTATATAATACACCAGGTAATACACATATGTGTTTCTGTTGCCATGCTTGTGTACATCTTAGATTCTTCCCAACCTTGAAACACACACACACCACACATGTCCAGGCGAATATACAACTTCAACAGAAAAAGATGATAACTAGTTTCCTAGGATGATTATACACACATTTTCAGGGATCTTGCTGGAACAGAAAGACAAATAGAGCAGGAAGTGTGCATTAGAGCTTGGTGTTGACACAAGAGAACATACCTCCCATGAGAAGAATTGCCATACCAGTGTGATTAACCAGATGAAAACACAGTAGGAATGGGGAACTCATGAGGGAAGGAGATACTTACTGCTTTTAGTTTCACATGCAGACAACTCTGTCTTGAGATTCTAGAATAATGATCCACCTGGAGGTGCCCATTTGAAATGTCTTGTTTACCATCATTGCTCATTCAGAAAGTATTGACTCTTCTCTATTTCATTTTCTTTCTAGGTACTTACATTATGTGTTTGATTTGGGAAATGGTGCTAACCTCATCAAAGGGAGCTCAAATAAACCACTTAATGACAATCAGTGGCACAATGTAATGATTTCAAGGGACACCAGCAATCTCCACACTGTAAAAATCGACACAAAAATCACAACGCAAATCACTGCGGGAGCCAGAAACTTAGACCTCAAGAGTAAGTACTGACTCAGTCACAGTATCAGCATCCCTCCAACGTCTGCACACGAGTGAAAAGAACCCTTTACTCAGGGCACACGCTCATGCCTTCTGCAAAGGCTGACCAGAATTTTGGTTTTTCAACATTTTTAATAATACAACACACAAGTCTCTGTTCTTCCTTTAATGTGGCACGAACATATGTATTTTTAATAACAGTTCAAAAATGTAGCACCTAAGAATGAATGCATGATGAAAATTTAAACAATGAGAAAAATGTGCTCATGATCTCAATATTGTTTAAAAAAAAAATAGGCACTGGTAAGATTTTTTTTTCAGTGTCAATGCTTTTCTACAATTTGGAGATAATGGAACTGGATATATATTGAACTTTTAGATGTTTTTACTTTTGCCCCTCCCCCCCAAAATCAGATTCTGTAGATGATTTAAGACCCTTCCACCAACAGCTCTGAGGTCGGCTTCTCCTCGGTGATCAGTAGTGAGTTTTACTTTCTTCACCACCTCCTTAACATAAAAATTACAGGAACATATACGTGTTTCTGTTATCTATCTATCTATCTATCTATCTATCTATCTATCTATCTATCTATCTATCCATTTATCTATATATCTATCTATCTTCTATGTATTATCTATCTTTTATCTATGTATCTGTTTTTCTCTCCCTCTCTCATACATTCACACATAATAATGTTGCTTTAATGAGCTGTTGATAAAGCCTTAGCTGGCATTTTGTTTCTTATTGAGATTTAATTTTTCAAATGGTTAGAAGACATGTATAATAGGAGAAAATAACATTAGGTGTTATGAGTCTTTGTGATTTACTGAGAATGCACAGAGCAGAAAGCTTTGGAGAAGATTGTGTTGGTCTGAGTATAGGAGAGCTGAAGCAAGAATGTCTCACCAGGGATGGAGTAGCTTCTAGAGGAGAGAACAGTAAACCCAGCTTTCCACACACCCCCATGCCTTCCCTCCTACTTTGTCCTGACACATGGCAAAGCCCCTCAGATATGATTGCCAGCATATTTTTCTTTAAAAAGCTGCTCATTTATATTGATAGGATTCCCCCCCCCTTTGATTCAAGAAGTAAATACATTAGAGAGTTACAGAACTGGAGAAGAAAAATCCAACATTATTCTTTCTAGAGAAAAATGCAGCTTTTCGCTTTCTGTGATTGTGGGTCATATTTACAATGCTGGATGCTTATTTGTCACTTGTAAAATATCTAGTAATGGTTGTCTCCCTTTTTTCATAGGGAGCTCTTTGTTAACTTCAAAGAGCTTTTGTTTGCTACAAATCTAATAGCTTAGCTGAAACCTAACAGGATATTCAGAGGAATGCATTTTAACAAGCTCTACTGCTTCTTTGTCTTCTCTGAGACAGTAGTGAGCTGAGTATTTGGTTCCTATTCAGAAGATGCCCTCATTTTGCATGTTAGGCTCAGGAGGCCATTTTCTAGGAAAGGGGCGAAGGGGATTGTAAAGTTCAGTGCACTGGCCAGGCCAACTACGGCTGAATAAAACAATGCCTTGTTTATGTCAGAGAGATTTCAGGACACATACACGATTGTCACTAGACAGCTCAGATGTCAGGCCAGAGATTCAAATGACTGGAAACATATGGGTCACCATTGTTTGACCCATCCAATACTTATAGACGCAGTTTGTGAACATGAGCCCTGAAATCCAGTGGGTTGTGTGTCTTCAGATGTTTATGATAAAGAAGTTTTAGTCGGATTCTTTCTGATAAGGGTGTGTGCCATAAAGATAGCTTTAAAAATCTTAGACACTTTTTTTTTCTGAAAATAAGGATGCTTTTTAACACTGAATATTAATAAAACATTTCCCATAGTAAAAAATACCAAAACCACAACTTATATAAAGAGTAGACAAATTCAGATGTTAAGTCTGATATTCTTACTAAATGCATATTTAAAAAAGAAAAAAAAAACTCAATTTAAGTTAGAGGCTACTGCCCGAGATGAATAATTCGTTTTATGTATTTATTTGTTTACATGTGTGGGGGGTGCACAGACACATGCCTGCACTGCCTTCATGGTGTGGACCCTCGAGGAGGACACTGGGTTTCTTGCTTTCGCCTTCTCTACCATATTCCTTTCAGCCAGAGCCCCTGTTTGGGCCCTACTCCTGCATCTCTGCTCTGTTTTATAGGCACATGAATGGCCAAAAAGGCTGTTTGTGTGGATTCTGGGATACTAACTGCAGGTGTCATGCTTGTGTGTGAAGCAGTCTTCTTTACAGATATATTTCTTCAACAAAGATTCTTTACCAATAAATACCCTGCTCTATTCTGTGAAGCTGCTGTGCCTTCTAGAAAGACCTCTCAGTAAGGTTACAAAATGAGAACTAGTCCATAAGATTAGGCTGACGTTTCAGCTTATAAGTGCATGTGTAATTTTTAACGGGAACAACAACCCTAAGAAGCACAATGGAAGGAGAACATCCCTCATCTATTCCGCACTATTGCTGTTCATGATGCAATGCTAGCCAGATGCTGTTTACTGAGCACCGACCTCTGCTAAGAGTGGAGAGCACTGGAGAAAGGACAGGGTCCTGCTACGAAAAGTTACCATCCAATAAATGCACTTCATCTGAGCACACACATGCAGGACATAGTGGGGAGGAAAGCTATGGTGCCACATGCGGGTACTGAAACTGGGCTGAGAATGAAGACTTTGAGGAAGCCTTGTTTAAGGGGTATGGGAAGAACAAGCGAAAACAGCCAAGCACTGTTTGTTTCTCCTTCCCTTCTGGGCACCCACGAGAAGCTAAGGATGGGTTTATGGATGTAAGACCTGCAGGGCTTCATTCCCAGAACGGATCATGCACACCATTCATGTAGAGTGGAGCCTCTAGAAATGCAGGAAACAGGGAAATCACCTTATCTGAGTCAGTGGTTTATTTTGGGTTTATTTTCACCAGGATTGACCCTGTGAGGATTAGTCTGATTTAACCACACCTTCTTCATATCAGTGCAGACATCTGTACTTCTCCAAGTGAGACCAATTAGCTTACCTTTACCACCAGCTTATGGTAGTTGGTGAAGTGAAGAATTCTGCATCCTTTTCAGTATAGCTCTCCAGCGATGCCCAGAAACCATTAACAGGTGTCTAGTTAACGTCCTCACACGCCATGAATTAACATCCTGAAACAAGGCACAATGTATGTTAAACAAACTGTAGCCCACCTTTTAATTGTTTTGTATGTGGCCCTTTGTTTTCGTGGTTTGACTTTGATTAGTCCTTATCTGAAGTCACTTGGTTGAAGCAGATTTTGGACGTTTTCACTTACATTACTATACCTGAAAGAAACACCAGAGGGCAGCATAGGGCCACCCATGACATTGGGGAGGTGGAGTAACTCGATCGGTTTGCTCTGGGAAACAGAATCTCTTTGTTTCCAGAATCTAAAATTCCACATTTAGCCTTCACTGTAATGCACGCTTTTGTCCATGACTGTGTTTCATCTTGCAGATGTTGAAATATGAAACACGGACCTCTCTTTTTCCCCACCTCTGCTCAGGTCACAAACAAGCCTCAATCTAAGGATCCCTCCAGAAGAGGAATTCATGCTGATGACCTTGTTCAAATGATCTTTCCTGACACCGCCCAAGTCTCATGGGTGTATGCCTCTCCCTGCTGATATAATTTGTTTTCATCCTTATTCCCAGCTGCTGGTGCCTACTCCCTTTGACTACTATATACAAGCTGCAACAACAATGAAAGGCACAGCATTTCCTTGCTCTCGACTGATTCCAGAGCACAGTTCTATTCATTCTGGAACTTTTGAGTCCTGGCCACTTTAGTAAGATAATGTAGTCTCTACCTGTGCTTCTCTTGTCCTAATTTGACAATTTGTATTTTCAAGTGTCTGGGAAAAAGCTGATATTCATTGAGTCTCTATTAAATACTCGATGGATTTTAATGAGGTTATAGTATGTAATCCTTATGAGTGTCGGGGAATTTGAATTGAGGTCAGTCTTGCTTATTCATTTATCTAGTTCAAGAATAAAAATAGAAAAGACGAATAGTTTTGGGTTTCAATTTCCATGGGTGCCTTATTTAAGTATTAAGTTAATCTGTCAGAAAATTGAGGCTCAATTGGACTTGATTGGAGCTGACCATACTCCTAAGTGCATATCAGACAGTGCCCTCAGGTGGCCACTTAGCAAAATTACACCGAGTTACTCGGCACATCTAGGTCAGCCAGATGGAGAGCACTTTGTCCCTTCCTCCTCCTTTATGCCTCTCACAAATCCCAAATTATTTCCCTCCTAATCTCCTTTTAGCTTCTTTCATTTTGCCATTCAAATCTCAGCCTGCAGGTAGCTAGCTGCCTGCTATTGTGCTTCCCACGCCCAAACCACTGGAAGAAACCCCAGTCAGAAACAGCCAGGACCTTCAGCTTCAACAGGTTCAGTCTCTAAGTGAAGATTTGCATATATCCTCGGCTTGTTCTTTTTCATGTAACTCAGATCAGTCTGTTACCTAGTGGCTGTCATTTTCTGGACCTAACTATAAGGCATGTCTGCCTATTTTCGACATTTTCACGTTCATTTTGAAAAACATTTAATGAAGGAATGTCAGTTCCAAAACGTTGATCATGATGAAACATGTCTGAGCTTTGTTGTTTGGCACATGTGACTTCTGGTAGCCCATTTGCCGTACCTGGTTTTGTTTGTTTGTTTGTGTTTTTGTTGTTTTTTGCTCAAACAGGACATGTCAGATAAGAATTTGACTTTGAGCCTAGCCTTAGAGCTGGACGAGACATCGACAGTGCAGGAATTGCCCACTGGCTTGTTGTTTATAATGCAGTGAGATTACTAACACTCTACATTTGTGGGAGGTTATTTTAAGGAAACCTTTTCAGTGGCTAGCAGTGAGGCCCCTCAGAGGGTAGGGAGTTTGTTCTAATTACTGCAGTGGGATCTCCAGGAGACAGGGCTGTCCCTGGCACCTGCTCCCTCCTTCCTAGTCAT